TTGCTACCCTTTAGCTTTTCGTTTAATGTGACAGAAAATGACACTGAGCCCTGGATGCAGATCAAATTCTCCACCACCAATTACAAGCTTCTGTGTTTTGTGTGTCTAAAGTGGCCCACAGGTGACGCTGCCAAATAAAATGTCTAGAGAGAGCTGATGACTTTCACATTATTTGTTTCTTATCATGTGTTGTTTACATAATTTTTTACATTCACTGAAGTGCGAATGAGGGTCAGTTTCATCCTGAAAGACTCAACTCCCACCTGTTAAAGATGAGTGTCTCAGGACTGGCAGCGTATTTATTGGTAATAACTTTTTCTTTAAAAGGATTCAGTGGGCGAAAGCCAAGACAAAATACAGACACCATAACAGAGTTGGCAGAACACTCCACCGCGGCAAACAAGCACTCAGGTCATGGACTCTGTTTGTCATTCCTTATAAATGTACTCTTCCGCTTGTTGAAAACAAGATGAAGGGTGACTCATGATAAAGTGACTTTTCTCCACTTGCCAGTACACCACTGCCTGTGGCCTTTGTGCCACATCTCTCACTAAAGTGCATTTTTAGGTGTGACCTTCTATTTGGCAGATTGTTCCAGGATATACTGCCTATTTATTTTTTGTGGAAACTATCACTCAGTATAGTCAGGTGTAACGAAGGGAACGTCGTCGAGCCTTCTCATCTGTGATTGATTGTGTCTTCTGGCAGGTTGGGTCCTCGAATCCACCTGAAAAAGAGAACGTAGTAGTCTCTGACAACACTGTTTGTGCTTACATTTGGTCATAATTGAAAAACAATGGTTAAATTTGGATCTGTTGAGTTTTTGCAGTAACATCTATGTGCTATATCTCCAGGTACAAAAGCGTGTGCCAGAACATTAAACAAGTTGTTTGCATAAACACTTACGTGTCCTGTCTTGTGTCTGCTTTGGGGTGTTCAGCCAAAAGAGTCCCCAGGGGTACGAACGCCTACATAAATGTTCAGAGAGGGACCAAATGCAATATCTCAGGAATGCTTTGAGGGAGTTTCTTTAACACTTGGACTCAAGGATTAAAGGTCACTTTAACCTCACAAAACACATTTTGGCCATAACTCAAGAGATGATGGCCATATTGGTTGAAACAATCATCAACAATCATTGGTGACAGCTTTAACTCGAAGATCAAGGTCACTTTGACCTCAAAATGACCTTGATAAAAAGGTTTTTGGCCATAACTCAAGATAGGTAATTATGACAACATTCACAACACGTTTCATGGAATACCACAATGAAGTGATGATATTTTTACCCTAAAGGTCAAAGGTCAAACAGACGTAATGACTAATTTTCTGTTGTGGACGTCCGAAACATGTCATCGATTCAAAATCATGTTAATTTGCAATTTCCATGAAATTAGGAAAAGTCATGAAATATCAGATACCTCCATAACCCCAAACAAAACATTAGGGTTACACTGTGTAAACAGTATAAAGTGCTAGATCTTTTACAACATTAAAATACTGCTTACACATTAATAGTAAGTATATCAGAACAGAAGACTCATTGTGATGAACCTACAGAGAATTATCACCTGCATCAACAGATCCCTTCGGCGTAGCATAGCTTAATAGCGAGTTTCAGTTAATTGTTTAGCTGTCCGGCCCACAACTTTACTGTTTTGGTTTACACTCACTGCGACATTTCTGGCGGCAGCATGCAGCTGTTTTGGCAAGTGGCAAAAAAAGAATTTATTTTAAGTAAAATGTTAAATGCACGATTTCACTTGTAATGGAGTATTTCTACACTGTAAACTGCTACTGTTATTTTTTTCAAAACATGTTGACCCCTTAATCTGGCCAACTAGCTAGTCTAACTAAAATAATGTTTACTTTCTGTATACTACATATACTCTATTCTCCATCTTTTTGAAGTTCTTCCGCACTTTGTCAGAAATGTTATATGGAGCTGGGTGTGAGAGCTCAGCTGTGACTGTCTTTGTGATTACAGATAAGTCTATGTTTGCTACAAGCAAGAAAACTGTCATCAGGTGAGCAAATTCCTTCCAGGGTGACATCATTATATCCATTACTCCTGTGGAAACAGACATTCTTACATACTTCTGAAATGCTTGTTTGTACTGCAAAACTCACTCACACTGTGTGTGTGTGTGTGTGTGTGTGTGTGTGTGTGTGTGTGTGTGTGTGTGTGTGTGTGTGTGTGTGTGTATGTGTATGTGTGTTTGTAAAGTGTAACAATATACCAGGATTTATCACTGCATTTCTTGCTATTGGTTCAAACATAAACACTGGTGTGAGACAGTTTGCTTGGCTGATGGCCATGTGTTGATGTCAGGCTGCGTCTGACTCTGTGGTGGCATCATCAAGATAAAGAGCAGCATTTGACCCGGACATAGTTCTCTTGACATGGACACAAGGCTTGAAAGTGACTGTGTGCGTGTATGACAGCTGACAAGTGTGCACATTTAATAACATCCACAGGCACAGGACTCAAGAGGATGATGGCATAATGAGTCACAAACTCAAACACACGTACACAACAACAATCTCTGTCTCTCTAACACACACACATGTGCATACTTTCCATTCTAAATTCAAAAATACTTATTTTGTTTGTGTAACAGTTTCAAATTTATTTCCAAAAGACAGACAATTAGCAAAAAAAATTGGGGGGGGGGGGCAAAGTTTTTACATGACATATAAAGACACACAGCACATACACAGATACTGAAGAAAGATAAGGACAAAGGCAAGACAAATTCAGCTGTTTCTGGAAGCCGCTTCCTTACTTTGGTAAAGATGCTCTCCATGATAAGCACCATACAGTATAGCAACATATGATTAGATAGATAGGAAAACTATTTGTTCCCCAGTACTTAGCTTAAAGGAACAGTGACTTGCTAAGAAATTTCAATGTTTGATGTCAAACTGAGAATCTGATGAAGAGCAATATCAGTTTCATCTCTGAACGTTCTGGCAGAGTTAGCTTGACATCTGGGACATGGTTTAGAACTTGGCCACATTCTTCAAAAGCATCTGGATGCTTAGAGAGACAGGGAGAAACTCCTAGCCTCACTCCATCAAAATTTTAAAAAATGATAAATGGACTGCACTTAGATATCCCTTGTTTATGTTAACTGGTGGTGGCGCTGTCACTGGCCTGGCTATCAGAAACAATTTTGAGGTTTGAACCACTTATTAATGCAATTAATGGACACCCTACTCTTCCTCCGGAGCCTCAGCTACCCCAGAATATGAAGAACTCCAAAGCTGTCTTATGTACACTTTCACTGTCCCACAAAACAAAACAATTAATTAAGTGAAGGAAAAGAAGGCCACAACATAAAGTGAAGTCCATTATTCTCTATATGAGTACCTCAGAGTGCATTATTGTGATTATGACATGGACTCTTACCAAAGGAAAAAAGAGGGTTTAAATATTTTTGTGATGTAGCATGAAGAACAAGTATTGTTGTTATGCTATACAAATCGTAAAGCCACTTGAGGCACATTTGTGATATTGGGCTCTATAAATAAAATTGACTTGACTTATAGGCTAACTACCGTAAAACTTCAATTAAATAAATAGCCACCTACCCTGTTTACTGGCCTGGTGTGGGAATGCATTTTGACAAATAAATGCAGGTCCCCATAAAACGCCTGGTCTGGTTTTTATAGAAGTTCTTTGGATGGATAAAACCTCTTAAACCCTGCGGGGTCACCTGCTTTAGCTTTAATACAAATATTAATGTTTAGACCTATGATTAATAGCCTATGTCAGTATGGACATGCTACACATCGTTAGATTGGTTCGTTTCTCCGCAATTCAATCGTTCAGTTAATTTAACAGAAACAACAAGCCCCAAACTCTAATTCTTATAGATTTACCGGTGTAACCTGCGTGGTACAAGAGATGAAAAGGGGAAAAAAGTGCCAACTTACGTTACCTTTGAAACCCTCCTTAAGTCTGTATGTGTCAGTTCCTTGATTATTTATATTCCTTTAGTCTGTAAGGGTCCACCGATCAAAAAAATCAAAACAGCTTTTCATAAAAATTTATCCAAGTTGTGATTCCTGTCATGTGAAGTCCAGCGCTCTCTGTCTGCTAACTTCTGCCACACACTCTCATCCTACAGTTTAATACTATATTGGCGTTTTCCACATATTAGATTGTAAAAGGCACCTGCCATCAGTATCTTTGGTGGCCATAATATATGTCTTGTTAGCTAGAAAACTAGTCATTAATACAATAGCTACCCCGAATTTTGTTTTCAGAAGGACGTTTGTGATGTTGTGTGCAGTCACCAGGTCAGTTTGGCAGTTTCTGGCCATGTGATTAATGTAGGTCCAACATTCACTCTCTTTTAGCTCTGTCTTTGGTCTCCACCAAGTCCTTAGGGTGATTTAGCTGCTAAATGCTCCACTAAATTCACTAGCTAGTTACTATCTGTGTCTTTCAGTAAAATTAAAATATTGATTATAGCCGCTTTAAGTAAACAAAGATACACAGAAAGACAGCACTGGAGTTCCTGGAATGTGTGTTGATGCTGCTAGCCTAGAAGTTTCCCCCTTGACACATCATCATCTCATTGTGTATTTGACAGAAAATAACCATATTTTTTTTAACTGTTCCTTTAAACCACAAAAAACAGATGAGAATTACAGGTTATGAAACCATCTATATCTGACTCCACTTGTACGGCTGCTTCGGATGAATTATAATCACAGTATCAGCGTCACTTTCTTCGTATGTTGAGAGGCTTTGTGAGAATTTTAATAGCATGTGCTGAAGTGCAAAAAATTAAAAAAAACAGCTGAAAGATAATAGCAGTCCTTTAAAGCAATTTTAGCACCAAATGGTTATATAGTGTACCTTAAGAGCAGCATTTCATACCTTTTTTGCAATAAAGCATTGTTTATAATATGGCTTCAAAACAAGTGGTCTATGCATACTGTATATATTAAAACATTTGTCAAAATCCTTTAAGAGATTACACAAGAGATTACACAACCTGGGTAGTTTTAAAAAATCTTTGTAAGCTGAAATACTAAAACATCCACTTAAGCATGATCATACTCTCATCACAGCCCAAATCTTTGGCTAACAGCTACATTGTGTTGTTCTTTACAGCATCGGCTTCATGACATTTAGAAGTTTAGCCAGGTTGTGACTTCACACAGTGAAATGAAGCATGGTATGTGACATGATGTTCTTCATTTTCAGTCGAGATGCTTTTAACTACACCACCTCAACATAGTTCGCTGGGTAAAGCCCCTCCCACCCATCATCCTTCATCCCCCGACACCAGCCCTGATCATCCTCATCCTCGATCTTCAAAAACCCCTCACCTGCAGGGAGACAGAGCCATTTTCTTCTTTATAATCCAAAATTTAAATAGGGTTGAACCAATATTTTCCTTATCGAGTATTTATTTATTTATTTTCTTGATAAACTGTTTTTAGCTAGTTTTTCTATAAAATGTCATAAAATAGCAAGAAATGACCATCATAGTTTCCTAGTGCTCAAATTAACGTTTTGTTTTCTTTGATGCTTGTCTTGCCCAATCAGCAGTCCAAAACCCAAAAATATTCATTATATCATCATAAAAGAGCAAGAAAACAGATGTTCTCATTTGAGAAGTCAGAACCAGTGAATTATTGGCACTTTTGCTTAAACTATTAAATTACTTTTATTACAATTAACAATTAAATGATTATTAAAATAGTTGCTGATTAATTTTCTGCTGTTCAACTACTTGATTAATCAACTAATCTTTTCAGCTCAAAAAACAAACAAAAAAGACAACTGAACAGAGAAAAATTTGTCATATGAAACATAAATGATAGTATGCCAAATTACAAAACTTTCACACAATAATATACACTTCAGCATACTGTTTATGATTAACATGTTGTCTACACAGTGCAGTTCAGTTAGTCTTGTAGGATGATATGTGTGTGTTTACCTGCTGTAAATGACAGCTCATCTGTCTCCTGGCCAACATAATCATACAGAGCTCTTACTCTCACTCCTCCAATCATCACACTACAGGAAGAAAAAGAGACAGAGAGACAAAAAGAAGAGACAGAGAGACAAATGGATGTTTGATCAGCCATACACAACGGCTTCACAGCATCAGATCATTGTAAACATAAATTTGCATTTCACACTTTCCTTTGGGATAGATTTACTCACCTCCTCTCTATTGTACCTTTCTTGTCTTCTTCTTTCTTCCCTTTTTTAGGTTTCTTCTCAGGCATCCATTCCTTACAAGCATTTGAACAAAACAATGGGAATTAAAATAAGAAGAATTGAACGTCACATTGATTTGAATAACAGAAATGGTTGGACACTGACAAAAACTGAAATACCTGGAAGTGAGGCCAGTCGGTGGGCATGCCGGGCCCATGGGTTTTTTTCCACCAGCGAAGGTCCTCATGCTCATCGATGGCCATTAGGGTGTTGTGGAGCTCATCATACACAGCCCTCACACTAAATGAGGGGTGGAGAGTAAATAAGATAAGCCAAAATAATATTCATACATATTTTAGCAGGGTCACACCAATACAGAGCTGCACTAGACATGTCTCCAATCTTCAGTATAAACCACCAACATTAGTTTATTCTCATTGCAAAAACAATGGGCTGACTTTCCTAAATACCAGAGAAATGATTTGTCCTTTATGCTAAATGTTTTGGCTTGTCAAAGAACCAAAAAGCCTCACATTTCTGCTGGTTATACTGTAACTAAAGTTTGCTTAAAATTGCCAAATTGGCACATAATCTGCTTGCACTGCCATCCAGAGCATTTACGTAAAGCGTTGCCCAAAAATTAAGCAGATTAATAGAGTACATCATTTCTCTCATCTATATCCCCCTGTGGCTCCTGCAGATTTTATAAAGCAATTAAGTTGTTGTCTTTGCTATTATTTTCTTTATTAGAGTACAAGTGAATCACTGAGAAACATTTATGTGCCTTGTGTAGAGGAACAACATTTAATAAGGACTAAAGTAAGTCAAAAGATTGATTTTAAAATCAATCAAACACACACACACACACACACACACACACACACACAAATAAATGTAGAAGTACTGTGCTTCACCTCTCATTGTTGGTAATGTCCAGGTGTTTATGGATGGAGAGAAAAGCCTGTTTGAGGAAGACAATCCTCTTCCGCTCTTCGTCCTGCGATTGGTCAAAGATGGACTCCATCTCCTCCATGTAGCGTGGAGCGTAGCGGTTCACCTCCTCAAGAACTTTCTCATAGCGGGCACGAACCTGTGAACATTTAGATATGCCTTTACACGCTGCTCAGGACTCAGTTGGTCTTATTGGATTTACATGTGAAAACAATTGAACGTCTATAAATCTAAAACAAAAGCATTGTATCTAAATTAACTAAAATAAAAAAAACTGCTGGTGGATTGTTCCTAATTATGGTTGTGATACAGTTCTCAATAGGGAGACCCTCCTCTTCTTTTTCTTGAAAATTCACTTCAAATCTGAATTAAATATACCACACAAGCCACCATTTCCTCCCAATTCACTGAATTCTTTATATCATTTTTTGCTAGCTAGCAGCATTGTTCTTCCCAGCATTTTTTTGGCATGCCAGTTTTCTTTGCACCACAGACTGTCGATCTGTGAAATAGCCTGAAACAGCCTGAAATCGTGGAGAGCTTGTGTGTGTGCACAAGATACAAATAACTTGGGGACCCGCTCACAAAAACACTGCTCCAACAAGTGTCCTTTGGCAAGACACTGAATCCCAAATTGCTCCCAATAGTCAGGTCAGCACCCTGTCACACCTACACACCAATGGTCGCGGTGTATCCGTGTGTGTGCGTGAGTAAGTATATGAACAAAACCTTGTAAAGCGCTTAAAGCTGGATAAAAAGCTATTTACTATTTAATCACTGACATCATTTCCATTCAGCACATAAAGTGATGGAACAGATGACAAAAATCATGAATACCCAATGATAATGATAATGAGATGAAACATGATGCTTACCTTCTCGGCCTCCAGTTGAACCAGTTCCCTCTCCTCCTGGATCTTCTTCTGTTTGTCGATGGCAACGTCCGGGTTTCCCTGAGCATGTGCCTCTCGCTCCCTGGCTGCCTGCTCTTTACGGCTCACTTTGTGGTACGCACTTTTGGCTTTATCCAGCTGTGGATGACCCAAAACATACCTTATGAACAGGTCACAACAAAAAACAATACAGCGCAGACGCGGCCTTTAGTAAACTAAAATCTTACAATGCTTACAATATCCTTGCATATTTAACTAATATGTGCTGTCTAGAGATGATGAGAAATCAAATTCATTGCACCAGTTCATTGGTGCACCATACTACACGTTTGTAGTCAGAGGTCACTATTCTACAGCAAAACTGCCAGAAAGTCAGACACACAACCGCAGATCATCATGACCGCTCAAAACAGACCTACTCAATGTTGAACCAGAACCAAAGACACTATCATAAAATACAGGCTGCATTGTCATCTCTGATTCTTAATAATTATCATTTCAAGTTTCAACCTTTATTTAGCAAATATCTCCTTTCCTCTTGCTCATGTTGACTGTAAATGAAATGTAATCTGCGTTCAATAAAGCAGCTGTCATACACTGCTGGGGAATTTTTGGGTCTCTGTAAATAATATTAAACAGAGTACTGTCTAGACCTGCTTTATATAAAAAGTGCAGTTAGATGCCTTTTATTGTGAATTGCCGCTATATAAATAAAAGTGAATACATTTGAAATAACATTTCCAGGTAAAACTTCTGAATTCCACAGTGAAGACAAATATCATGCTTATTGTAGAAAGACTCACAAACTACTTAAAATAAAATAATAAACTCTAAATTGATGTCAAAATGTAGCTTACCTACAATAACTAATCCTCAATTTCACTGCTCGTGCCTAAGCACCATTGTTAGCTGACCATTAACAGTTACATAAAATATGAAATGGTATAGCCAAGTGGTAATGAAATGACAGGGTGGGCTATCAGCTAGCTAACATCAGGTAGCTCATTTAAAGTAAAATAAAAGCTAATAACAAAAACCTGAAGATAGGAAAGTTAAGTGTATTAAAGAAGCTAGAAAACTAACTACTGACATTAAATGACAGTGTTTCCACCTGGACTGGAGCAGCTGTGCTGCAGTGATGTGGGCCAAAACATACCTTATTATCTACAGTTGTGGATAAAGGAAGTTCACAAAGAAGGGTGTGCCTGTCTACATGGACTTAACATTACACTAACAACCGTCTCATCGATTCAAAAGTAAACCCATACAACTAATTTTGAAAACTGAGATGCTCTTGGCTTTGAAAAGCATCTTGCTCATACTCAATAAAATTGTGGTGCATTAGGTCTCAGTGGTCTAAATATAGGCCTATAGATTGATCTGAGACCATTTGTTTAATGAGTACCCATTTGTGAAGTTGCAGTCACTTTTAGTATGTATGAAGTATTGATTTTTAAGGGGCTTGTGTATATTTTTGATGCAAATATGCTATTCTGCTTTTGACTGATGTCCTTAGCAGCTCTCAAATCACAAAAAAGCACAGATTCAAGTGGCTCATTGCTGTGAATGCGTAAGAGAGACTGTTGTGGATTCCTTGTTTAAATGTCTCTTTTCAGATCACTGTAGCCTAGTCCCGACCTGGTTGGGAAAATGTGATTTGAGATTGTAACAGAGAAATGCTCCCCAAAAACAAACACCCAAATTCTATGACTACAGGAGAGGACCGTGGAACTCAATGAATGTAGTCATATTGTAGTCAATTATAATGTTAATGGTTTGTTTAAATGTATTGTTAATAGCTTAATATTAAAAAGAAGAAAACTTGCATGATTGACAGCCACTGCCAATTAAACAATTACAATTAAACAAACTTGAGCCCTAGCCCACATGTCACGGGCAGACAGTGTGTTGTTACTGGTATTGAAGATCGAGTAAGGACCACACCAGCATCTAACTGGACCTATTGACATTTGCAGGTAAGTTTACATGCTGTTTAATGTTCAGCATCTGAGGAGCTAATTAGCTATCTAAGCTATCTAAATAGCTAAGTGCATTTTCCCCAGTAAATGTTTGTTTGGTGGCTCAAGCTAAGGTGCAGGACAAGATGTGTTTTCATGTTTGTAAGTTAGATAATAAGGAGACTATAGCCTGAAGACTAATATGGGTTGTTGCTGTCTTGTGTTGTGTAGCAGGCTGCAGTCTGGCTCTGTATGGCCATCTGCTCTGCATGTGATAGATCGCGGACAATTCTTCTTTATGCAAGATTCGATGGGCTGTACCTCAATAAGGTCACTGTCATGTTACGTGTCTTTGAATGTGACCCTGTCATCCAGAAGTAAATTGTTTTTTCTTTCTCTTATACTCTTTTAGGCAAGAACTTATAACTTATAATATACTATTATTATTATTATATGGTTTTTAATCTTTAACCTGTTCCTTTTATTATTATACTCATTATTCTAGTCTGTCCACATGGGTTTAGGTCAGAGATGTGAAGTTGTTCATCATTCATCTATTTTATATTAGTGTTATAAAACTGAGAGAGTCTGACAGAGTTTTTAATCATCATGCGTTGTAAAAATAAATAAATTAATAAAAGCCACAGAACCTGGTTTTTAAATCTGAAAAATTCAGACCTTTTTAAGTCTTTTGGCCCATGGCTTCTGAGCACGTGTAAAGCCTGTCTCAATGTCCTGGGACTCCTTGAAACCTCCAAATAACCTCTTGTGGAAGGTGTCCTTCTGCCAGGTCCTGACCCGGTCTCCATCTTCCGACACCAGGGAGCGACAGATGGAGGCATGTAAGGAGGCCAGCCGGTCAGCGGAGGACAGAAAACACTGCCAAGCCTTCAGAAGAGATCCGTACAGAGGACCTGACAAAGGAGGACAAAGACCAGGAAATCACACATTCCTGAAATTCTCTCTGTACTCTCTAAAAAATGTAATATTTTTTATATACAATATAGCTGAAATAAAACTAAAAGGTACATATTACTACCTCTTATCACAAAAAGGAGATTTTCTGATCCCAGTTTACATGTTCTACACACACCTAGCTGGGGTTGCAGCTACAGTAGGCTACTTACTGGAGTCCACTACTGGTTTCCACTTGTTGCTCCATTCACTGAGCTGCTGGGCATACTGCCTCTCCACGCGAGCTCTCTCTTGGAAACATGCCACTATGTCATTACAGGCCTGGAAGGCATCTTCTGTTCGCTTCACAGTGCGCTGATAGTTCCCAGGCTGCCAGGACACAAAGAGAAATGAAGATCTACTGGTAACACAAAATAAACAGGGGAAGGAGGGAAGCCCAGTGGACTTCAAACCCTGATACTAACACTCAATTAGACATTTGGATTGAAAAAGCCAAAAGTTGATGATATTTTTGCCGATATTTTTTGATAAAGTATTATAGTTTCTTTTTGTATTTAGTCTTACAATTTCAATGTCAAAGAATATGAAATTGTACATCTGCTCACAGTTTATTCCTGGCAGAGTGGCCATGTAGACCATAAAGTGATTTAGACAAACTAATTTAGAAAACGATTCAAGCCAGTGTGACTCTTCGACTCTCACTATCACTACTACTTTTATTATTACTCATATTGGTACTAAGAGCATTACTTGTGCCTTATCTCCATTAAAAGGAATATTTCACCGTTCTGGGGGAATCTTTTTTTTTGCTTCCTTGCCAAGAGCTAAATATGGTGATTGATACCAGGACTGTAAACATGTAGATGGAGCGAGCAGCCTGTTAGCTTAGCTTAGCAGAATGACATGGGAAGAAACTGCTGACCTGGATATGGCCAAAGTTAACATAATCCGCCTACCAGCACCTCTAAATCTCAAGGTCAAAGTTTTCCTTTCATGATTTCTCTGTTCCATTTTGGTGTCCCAGTAAGTTGTGCCAGTTAACCAGCATGCACAAACCCTTTAACTGGAACTGGCACAGCTAAGAGGAATGTAACGATGATTAATGTTGTAAGTCACACCTGTGTTTGAAATGTCAAAAGGACACTCTACATGGTGAGTGTCTATTAGCACTACTGACTACTTCTACTACTATAAGAACTTCTGCTTCTTAACAACATTAAACAGTCACTACTGGTCTGTATCACATTCTCTGTTCAGCCAGTCATAACAAGGTGCAGCTTGCATCCGCCTCTCTTTTCACAGCTGTGACACTGCTGCAGCCGTCTAAGGTCAACCCCCACAGGCCACAAGTGGCACTTTATTGGTATTAAGTTTCCTGTGGTAAACTCTAATGCTGGCAGCAGCATGGGGCGTGGTCATTGGACAGGAGGACAAGGCCTAGCTGTAAAAAAAAAAATACTACAAAAAAAACCGACAGGGAGGACAAGAGGGCAGCAGAGGCAAGGCTCAGAGTGTAATAACATATCTGAAGAAATTGTGTTGTTTGTGGATGTGGTATTTGGAAATCTCTCTACAATTTTCCTGGCAGCTGCCATCAGCTCCTTCTCAGCACTCACTCCTACACTCTTTTTCACTTTCTGCCTGACTCTGTCAGACTCTCAGCCCCTGACACATTTAGACAGCTGGGTGAAAGTTTCTGGACACCACATATGTTGTCGTGTTGTATAAAATCATCTGAGGCAAATGCACTTCATTTAAATACAATACCAAATAAAAAAAATATAAGTAAGAAATAGACATGAGTGAGCAGAAATTTCTCATGGCTTACATTTTCACTTGCATACAACAAACAACAAAGGTATAACAGATAACATCAGTCACGGAGCTCCAATTACTGGTGATATGCATGCTGGCTCATTGGCATGACTTACTAGGAAAGCTAAATGTACCAGAGAGACATCTTTAATGTTATTAGTTACGGGTTTTTTAAAAAACTAATTAACAAGATCCTAATGGGACTCTTAATTAATGGTATATTAAATGCAGGTGCATGGGAATGATCAAGCAGTTAAGTCAAAACATGTTAGTGCTAGCAGCAATTGTGAGACAAATATGCAGTGTGTTTTCTGCTACAGGTAGGTATAGCAAGATTAATCAATATGTTGGACATCATTTTTTAATTCAGTATCACACATTTTTTCTTACATTCTTTAATTTTTAGCTACTTGTACTGGTGTTTCATTGTGAATGCATTGTTTAAAGTAAGCTATGTGATATATGTATTTCCCATATAAACATCTTTTCTGTCCATTGTCACCTAGTCATCACATTAAGTGGTTAAAAGCATGCATAAAAGCATGCACCACGGCTGTAAAAGTGATTTATTTTCATACTCTTACTTCAACTAAAGTAATCACATCAATATGCCTTTAATGAAACACTGTAGTTAGCACTACAGTACTACTACATAGTTACTTGTGCCTTAATCAGAGTCAATTGGAGTACTTCTCATCAGTGCCCTCCTGTTTCTCTCTCTCTCTCTCTCCTTCTTCCTTACTTTCTGCCTCTGTTGTGGTTTTCACTGACTCTCCTCACTCGTCTGAGAATTAAACAGAAACAGCTGAGGAATCCAGTTTGAGGCCAACGGCAACGCTGCAGAGCCCCAGTTGGCCAATCTCTGAAGCAGATGCAAATCCGCTACCAGAGAATCTGTCTATGCAACAAAACACAGTATAAGAAAATGGCCACGGTCCTCCATTGAAAAATCATATTTCACGTATCTAACCGATCCTATCCAGACTAGCAAACATCTCAGTGCACAGAAAGAGAGCTGGGAATCACTAGCAGATGTACTACAGCATCCGCAATAGTAATTAGCAGTTATCAAGTTACTAATGGTTGCAGTACAAGAATTGAAGTAGTAGTAGCAGTAGTGGAGTGATTGTACAGTAGAAACAATGGCAGCTGTGGTAGTTCCAGTCTTAGTAGTTATAGTAATAGTAAAGAAATAGTGAAAGTTGTAGCAGCAGTAATAATAGTCACAGTAATAGGATTAGTAGTAGTAGTAGTAGTAGTAGTAGTGGTAATGGAAGTAGAAATAGCAGAAGTAAACTATATGTATGCCAGCGTTTATATTCATGCCCTTACTAAGTTCTAAGCAAATATAGATCAATGCACAAAACAAAACACAGCCAGCTCACAGGACACATCAGAGCATTAACAGATTAAGATAAATGTCAGCCTGACAGAAATGTTTGTCTTAAAAACAAAGAGGGAAATCGGTTCAGTCAAATATTTACAGTGTCTGTTGCAGATTTAAAAACACTATCAGCTTTTGTTTTATTGCTGAAAACAACAAAAAGGGATGTGATCAGCGAGTGTCTCTATATAATCTGTAGTGAGTAAAGAGGATGAAGAGTAATTATATAATATATTATATAGTATAATATGAGATCCACAACTGAGTCCAAACCGTCACAGTAGGATGTGTGTATCTTTCAGTATGAATATTACACTACAGAACGCACCGTAATTGCCACCTTGTTGAAGTGCAGGTGACTTTGCAAATACAAAACAAAAGAGCTTCAGTTTGCAGTATAATGACAGACAGCCCTTGAGCATGGCGGCAGGATGACACAGACAGGAACTGGCCTGGAAACACATCCAACTCAACAGGAGGCTGCCAAAATTACAGGAGGGGAGAGATGAAAGTGGGGCAGTTCGTCGAGGCCAACGGGAGACAAAGCCAATATTAAAGTGGTAGCACAAATTAGATAGTCAGGCACTTTGTATGTTGGAAGTGTTTACAGCTTTAAAATATGGTGATTAAAAAGAACTGTGTATTGCAAACAGTGCAGAGCAGTTCACAAAACGGAAAAGTAAAACAGTACAATGTTTGTTACTAGACCTGAATTGGAACAAAGAAGATTTAGGCAATTTAAAGCAGACATGTCTTATGATTTAGGCTGTTGCTGTATGTGTAATTCATTATGTGTTATCATGTCCTGTGAATTATTCTGAATGAAACGGTACAGTATGCTGTACATGGAACAATCTAAAGCTGGAATTTATTGTTTATTTGTGAAAATTTACATATGCAAGCTTAGTTTTATGCAACATTATGGTTTAGATCTTATTTTAAAGGAATATTTGACATTTTGGGAAATACATTTACTCGCTTTCTTGCAAGACTTAGATGAGAAGATCAACATATATGAATATGAATATGAAGCTGGAGCCGGCAGCCAGTTAGCTTTGCTTTGCACAAACTAAAAACAGGGGAAAGGCTAGCCTGGCTCTGTCTGAAGGTAATAAAATCCACCTACTAGCACCTCTAAAACTCACTAATCAACACTGGAGTCTTTTATTCCTTCGAGTCACAATGGACAAATGCATGTAATATGTTGGAGCTGACCCTCAGTTCACACAGAAATTTTTCCTTATCCACAAATAAAAACATCATGCAGTAGCAGAAAGAAGTGGAAATAAAAAATACTTGTCCTGGATCCCCAGAGACATGACCCCTGTGCTACTGTGTTCTACTCTGTCGAGCAAACACAGACAATCAAATGCCTAATGAGCTGAGCACTATCACAAAAAACCTTCCTGGAGCACAGTTAAGCCAAGAAAGGCAATTCAGAGTGTACAATGGTTACAATTCACATTTAAAAGTGAAAGCAGTTCACGCTGATATGTAGCCTGAACGACAAAACAATTTAGTCTATTTTGACTGGAAGGTCATTGAGACTCTCTCAGAAGACAAACAGACAAAGACAAAGACAGAGCCACACACAAAATTCACACACAAACACACAGTCTTACCATCCAGAAGCTGCGATTGTTGGCATCTTCAGAGCTGTTTTCTGATGATAGCGTCGACATCTTGTTCTCTGAGAGTAAAGAGTATATGATTATTTCAGAGTATGGTATCTCTCTGCCTTTTAATCTGCACACTGACCTTTTTGTAATCGACTTCCACACGTGGGTAATGAACTCTGGGGTTTTGTAGCTACACTATGAACAATGATCTAAGGTAGAGACTAGACGATCTCAACCATGATGTCAGTTCACTGATCCCATATAGGGATTATGTGATTTACAGCCTTTTAATTATAGATTTTATTCTCACGTGATTATCTCCTCACAGTTTTAATTTTTAATTTAGTTCAAAACCACCAGCAAAAAGCCTTCAATGTAGGAGTCAGTGGAGACATATCCATGAGGAAACCAGGTCCTCTAAACCCTTTGTCAGACATGCCCCACAGCCCTGTCAGATGAACACACATCAACACCACCCAGATGTGTTCATTAGGGCCACCCCCCACCCACCCCCAAATGAATCACATATTTGAGGGCCTAAAGGTGCTCGAGAACTCACTAAACTTTGCACACTTGTCAGAAGTGGCGAAACTTGTCATCTTATATGGATGTGGCAAAATGGCTCGAAAGCTTCCCCTTTTTAAATTAAAACAAAGTAATCAACCAGGTACGTTTCACCCAGATGTACATTTGGGAGGCCAATATATCATCATCAGACTTTAAGATAAGCCTCATGGAGCTATACCCTAAACTCAACAGGAAGTCAGCCATTTTGAATTAACAGTGCAATTTTAGGGGATTTTTTTTGCAATTCACATGCTCTGCTCTTCAACAAACTCCTCCTAGACAATTCATCAGATCGACTTCAGATTTGGGCTGCGCAAACTAAAGACCTTTGTTATGAAAAGTTGAAAGTCAAAGTTTCTGTGGTGTCAAATCTTGATGTTTCACCTTTAAACAGGAAGTTGCTGTAACTTGAGTGCAGGTACTTGCCAATATTCAGTCACATAGCGTCATAGCACCACTTACACTGGCAACAGGAAACGACATGTTTACTTTAATGTACTCCTAGCAGACTGACCAGATCCACCTCAAATATGACCAGCAAAGTCTCAAGCCAATGGTGATGCCAAAAAGTGAAGCTTGTGAGTTTTTATCAAACAACGTTCCCATGATGCCTCATTATCGCCATAGAACAGAAATTGTCGTACATTGTCCAATCTGCCCCAAATTTCAGACATGTGAGAGGTGCAAGGCGCTGTTCATTGCTGCTTGCAGCTTTAATTTTAATTAATTTTCAACTGGTTATTTAAATGTTAAACAAAAAAAGGCTTACTTTCAGTAAACTAACTGGTTTAGCTAACTATTTCAACCATTACTTTCATCTAACTTTCAACTGTTAATCTATTACTTCAAGCTATCTATTTCAACTGTTAATCCATTATTTTTAGCAAACTGTTAACTCCTTATCCATAAGTTATCTATTCAACCATTTATACTTCACTTTTAGCTGTATAGTTTGACCATATTCCATCACTTTTAGCTAACTGTTTCTCTACGCTTCGCCCTTTCCATTTTTGATCAAATCAGAATCAAATTACTTGAGCTACTCCACAATCTTCCCACATACCCCCAGGGCCCTGGTAACTGCAGAAGTAGCCCCTGCAGTACAATTATCTGTGGTTGGTAATAACTGCTCTAGAGTCTAGAGTCTGTGATATGAATGCATTTGATATCCCCTCAGATAAATGACTGGGGCTCTTTTTTCAGGATCAATGTGTAGATATACACAGGTGTATCGTGTCTGGACTGAACTGTTTGGAGCCTCTGTAAACCCATTTAACAGTGTAGTTGCTGTTGGAAGTCGGCGAGCAGTTAATTTGGACCAGGAGGTGTACAGTAAACCGATGCAGTGTCTCACACACTGTAATCAGTGTCCATGGAGTATCCTCTCCCAGCACTGCCAGCTTTGAAACATGAGCTATCTTAAAATAAACTGGGGGTAAGGGTCAACACATCCTGTCATTTGCACTCACTTTCTTCCCATGCTAGTGGCCTGTCTGCTTTTTTTTTTTTATCATTATAAAAAGAAAACACTGGCACACTTCCTCATATGCTCAAACCAACAACAGACTCACATGACAATGGTGACGGAAATACATAAAAAGTTCTGTCTAACTCAAAATTAAGTGATCCACATACAGTATTTCAGATCTTTGAATTACTTCATGCTCATGATGTTCCACTTCCAAAAAAGAAACTTTTCCAGCTTAAATATTTAAGCATGCAGCAGTTTTGCCTCCAGTCTTTCAAACCCTCGATGCATCCGGAGCTGAACTCCACCCAGACACAGCTTGCATTTTCTTGCCTGTTTTTCCTCCCTGCAGCCATGGCTCTGTGAGGCACACAATTAGATTCAATGATTTTCCTCCTCATTCTGCTGTTCACGGGGCATCACATGCTCCACAAAGAGCATGATGCCACGCCTCACCCTGCCTGAATCTTCCTCAGCTTGCTTCAGTTGTGTCTCCAACGCTGAGGTCTTGTAGATTACACAACCCAGAGATCTGCACAAGGTCAGAAAAATAATAAATCGCCTGCCTATTAACCCTTGACCTCGACTTCCTGTCCCCCACGCTGTCCGGGTGTTCAGTTGGGGACAGGGGTGGTGGGGGTGGGGGACAGGGGTGGGGGACAGGGGTGGTGGGGGCAGGGGAGCTCTGTTGTCCCAGCATAATATCAAATAATCTGTGCATTCCTGCAAGTTCTACTAAGTACAGTCTCCAACAAACTACTACGTGTGAATTCAGTCCCAGCTTTACCCTGTAACTGCACAAGAAAGTATAAACTCTAACTTTCCATCTACCATCATAGCTGTGATCTACTTGCATGCCTCTCAGATATAATTTCATGCTTTTATAAGCATTATGATTCTGCTTTTGTGCAAGATCTACTCTGTATCTACTAGAACAAATCTGATGGCACCATGGGCCTTTCAGATTTCATGGACTTTATAATCAATTTAAACATCCTCTAAAGGTCTCGGATTGGCCCAGATTTTGCCCTTGTAAATGTAAATAAAAGTCTGAAATCTTATTTGTAAAATAAAATGAAACAAATTGTTAGAAAAGCCTGACTGGAACTTCTTCCAGTTGGTTCTCGTGCCATATGTGTGAGGCATATTCCCTTATTCCAAACCTGCTGACCTGCTGTCCTATGAGTACAACGCAGAGTATATTGTACAACTAACCACCTACCAGCACAGATCTAATTCCACCATGGGTCCTCCAGACTTTTTTTTAAATCTCTTAGAAGGTCAGACAGGAAATGTGTTCCCTCAGTTTTCAAAAGTCCTGTAGCATTCCGGTAACTTGCGTTAATCCAGTCCGAACAGTATCTAAAACTTTACGTGTAAAAAACTTTTTAACAACTAAACTAAAACTAAAGCTCTTTTGAGTTGTAAGAACCCATCTGGAGTTTCCAACCAAGAAACTCTTTCACCCCTGAATCCTGCACACATACTCACTCCTCCCCCTGTCCCCGTTTCATCTGTCACACATAACTCACCACACACACGCATTGCATGTAGGAAATATATAGTAACAAATGAACACACAGAGCAGAAATAGGAGCTCACTCACTCCATCGGATCTCTCTGAAATGCAGCTATATTGCCATGGAAGGCTAACAAGTTCCTTACCTCTCTAAATGTTGGGGCCCTCTCTGCCTCAACCCCCTTTTTCTTCTTTTGTTTGGCAGGTTAAAACTTTTTTCCCTCCTAGTTCAAACTTTCTGCAGACTCTCGAGCTCTCTTTCTCTCCGTCTTGTCTTCGTTAAACTTCTCCTCCTTTTCTCTTACTTTGATTTTCCACTCGTTCTGGACAGTTCTCCTCCTGCTCTTCCCCTTTCTTTGGCCCACTGTTTGTGTCAGATGAGTTGGCTTCTTCTTTTTTTTTTTTACTCCCTCCTTCTCCTCCCTCACACCCTCCCTCCCTATATCCTAGTCCCTCTCCCTCCAAAACTGCTGGAGGGAACTTATTCTCTTGTTCTTTGTACTTTGTACCACTTGTTGGAGAAGGTCTCTCTCTTTTTCTCTCTCATTCACTTGATTCACCTCCCTCAGAGTAGTGTCAATGAAGTGTGATATAGTGTGGGTTTTTTTGGTGTTTGTTTGAACATGGAGGTGAATCAGACCATAGATGAGTCACCCAACCAGACTGTTTATGTGTCTGTTTGGTCTGTTAACTATGTTTTACTATTTTACAAAGAAGCACATAGCAGCATGACCAGATAAGGATAACCCCATCCCTCTGTGCTTATCTTTATACCCCCTTAGACACTCCCCTCGACGTTCCCTTGGGATACTTCGGTAGGCCTGCCTCCACAGCTGGAAGATTCATCCGGTGTGTGTATGTGTGCTTGAAGGGAGAGATTCTTTTAAGTCAGAGGCCCCTGAAGAAGAATTGTTCACCCACACATCCAGCTCTTGCTTCATGCTATGCTCAACTTGTGAAACTTTGCCTTGCCAGAACATGCCATGTAAATAACCAGACAGCGTACGTTGCAATGTTTACGCCCAGCTACAACCTGCTCTTAGGAAACAGTAATCCTATAATCAGATCTGCAAGGATAGTAGACAGAGATCATGACAACACTGTGAGATCCTGTGATTAAAATGATAATAAGCACAAGAGACAGAAAATGTCAACAAGTGGAATAAGGTTCCATGAGACAATGTTACGTCATACATTCACAATTCAGTAGCACAGTATAAATCTCTATAGGAAAGTTTAAGGAATATTATAGTGATTGTAATTGCAGAGCAGCAGGTAAGCACTTTGTTAAAACGCATTGATGTAAATGCATCAAATGTACTTAGTTGTCCTTGCACCAAAATCATGATTTACTTTAGAGCTGTCTGTTATTCATACTAAGAAAAGAAACTACACTTACCCTACACAATCCCAGCTGACATCGGGCGAAAGGCGGGGTACACCCTGGACAGGTCGCCAGTCCATTGCAGGGCCACACATAGACAAACAACCAGTCACACACACTCACACCTAAGGGTCACCAATCAACCTAGTCTTTGGATGGTGGAGAGAACCCACGCAAACACGGGGAGAACATGCAAACTCTACACAGAAAGGCCGGGGCAACCGAGGTTCAACCTTCTTGCAGTGAGGCAACAGTGCTATCCACTAGGCCACCGTGATACCCCATTTAAAATAGTGTTGATTACAATTTTTTTTACCTCGTATACTTTAATGTGAGTTAAATATTAGACTTAACCTTAGGTCGCGATCCAAAATATGTCACGGACTCGTTTTTATTGGGTGGCCAAATTGCAGAGTAAAATAGATAATAATGCTATGAAATGCTTAATTTGTAAATCAGAAGGTCCTGAAACACAGTGCACACAGAGAATATGTTGTTCGGCGGGTCGGGGGTGAGAAAAAGTCACAGGAATGCATCAAAAATCCACAGCGCCTGGAGCACATTGGACAACACTGCAGTTGCTAGTTGTTAAACGAAACACAACTGTCATCACAAAGAAAGCATTATTTATTTACATTTAATCATCATCAGAGCATTCACTAAATTGATACAGCTGTCTACGTTTTGTAGCTCTCTCTCCCTTGATTGCTGTCCCTTCACTTCCCTGTCGTTTCCTCTAAGTTCTATTTACAACCATGAAAAGCAAGCAGGCTAAGACACAAAACTAAGATGTGCTCTGCCTGTATGTCTGTCAGACTCTGTTTGCCATTTCACAGCACAAACACCCCCTTGCTCAGATGTGGGGCTTACTGTAATTATATGCAAAAATATTTAGACACCAAAGAGCAAACTCACAAAAGGTGTTTGCTTAAAATATTATGTTTATTGGGATTAAATCACAGCAAAATATGTTTATTTTGGATTCATACCACCGGCACAATATTTGCAGGTTATGTTTACTCGCATTACTTGCAAAAATAATCCAGAGGTCATACTCAGTGAGTCACGGGAGGTGAAAATTCACTTCGCTTTCTGTGGGAACACACCATCACTGATCACAGTTTGTACTTCACTAGAATCAAGGCAGATAGTTGCCTGTAGTACTACCTCTAGCTAATACCCAGTGTTGGGGAACTAGTTAAACAAAGCATAGTTATGCTCTGTAACCAATAGAGGGTAGAAATACTCATTATTCTAAATACACACTGGTTGTCGAGCTCACAGGCTGGCTACGTAGTGGATAAATGCACAACTCAACTTACTTTCTAACGCAAAGAGAAAACTCTGCAAGGTTTGTGAAGTTTTCTCTCTTCTTTACCTACGTTTGGTCCCGACACCACTTCTGAATTTAAAATCCAAGCAATAGCAATAGTTATTTCAAACAACCACTAATAGCCACCATTGGGCTATTTCCACGTTTGTGAATGCCAGGTGAAGCCAACATCTCAGTGTATTTATTAAGAGATATTTAGGAATAGCAAGTTAAGTATCCTACATATTACTAATTTAAAAATATAAACACAAATATAACTTTCACTTGGACAGTTGTAATGTTTGCTCATCTATTAATTATAATAATAATAATAGCCTAGCTAGCTTGAAGTCAACTGAAAAGTTATTTGTTATTTGTGGGTTTTTTTAATCATTGGAGGAAGCCAAACATAATAAAAAGTTAGGAAGTCTTATTCGGTAGACATCGAGGCAGACTTAGTCATTTTAATAAAATAGTTAAAGGTTGTTATGCAGAGCTAATTTAGAGTAGTTAGCCAATTTACTGCGCCACACTTCCACTCCAGTCCAGCAGGTGGAGGTAATGTGCTTACGAACTGGCTGTCAAGCGCCGACATTTAAAAGCCAAAGAAGCAGCACCGGTTCAGTCAGTTGGTTCTTCTCTGCATTGAGCTAACATCGTTGGTGAAGCTGGTAAGATGACATTAAGACTAGCACAAATCCTGTCTGATTGATTCTGTTTAATTAACGTTAACGCCAGCAGTATTAACGTCGTTAAACAGCAGGCGTAGTATTGAAAGCAAAGTGGTTTATCAATATATAAGCCGGCTTTGTTGGGTAAATGTAACGCCGAACTCAACACCGTGCCATGTGGCTGCAACTCAAAGCATGTGGTCTCATATAGGACTCGTGTTGAACGTGGCAACATTAAATTTACACATTGCTGAATTGGGTTTGGTGTTATCGCCCGTTACTGCGGTTTGCCAGCAGTTAAAACAGCCGGACAGTTGGTAACACTGTGGGCCTATCTCCACGTGGAAAGCCTACCAGGTTACATTAGCTTGGTAGCTAACAGTATGAAGAGCTAACGTTAACTCCGACTGTACTCACAGGATCAGAAGCAGCAAAACACTATTTATTTAATTTGATAACACTTGAGGAGTAAGTTAAGTGTATTTGTTTATGATCACATGGGATATTATCTGAAGTGTGTGGCTTTTGCTCTCCCTCTCCCCTGATGACTTGCACTGGGCTCTGAGTAGGTATGGAGATAAACGTGCATCTTTGGCCCTGACAAGCCAGAGTCTCTGAGGAGAAAACTACTTCATGCTGGCCAAAGATTATAGTCATGACAATTCAGTAACTCATGCTTTTGTCGTTTTTTTCCCCCTAGATCACTTCCATCAAGTTAAAACCACTCCCAGACTGGACTCTACTTGGGTATGTAAAATGATATCATAATAAATGCTCCTGTGGCAACCATCACCAACTGAAGGCAGACACATTTTTACAAACTTTTTTTGGTTAACACATTTTGAAAATGTCCTTAAACGATAATGGTGTAGTTATGAACTGTGACCACTGGAGGGCAATGAACACTTGATAATGCACATGAACTCGGAGTCAAAGTGGATGTACCAGCACTTCTGTCAGATATATAAACCCTAAAACTTTTAAATTAGGCAGAAGTGAAGATGGGGTGCTGTGCCTATAGAAACTGGGATGTTGTGCTCAAAACAGACTTCAAGAGCACTGGTCATAGCATTTATGGTGTGTTGAAGCAAAGCATTGATGTATCTCGCCACAATACATCTTCATTGAAAGTCACCACGGTCTGCTTTGACATCACTGTGGAAATGGTACATTACTGCACAATATTGCTGTATAGAAAATGTAAGGTTTATTACCTTAATGTTTAGGAGAGTATTGTAGTGAGATTTACTTGTACATATCAGCTACTGCGACCCAGTGCGTTTCTGTTTTGTATGTGGATTACATTAATTTGGATTTGGCTGTCCCTCTCCCCTGATGACCTGCACTGGGCTCTGAGTCTGTATGGAGACAAAAGTGCATCTTTGGCCCTGACAAGCCAGAGTTTCTGAGGAGAAGAGAAACTATTGTTGGTCAAAAGCGAGAATTATAACACACATTAACGCTTGCTTGTCTTTTTTTTTTTTTTTTTTGTTTTTCAGGTACGGGTTCAACAGCAAGCTTCATCTACTCATGTCATGTTCTTGCATGTTTTGGTTAGTGTGAATTTTTATGAAGTTATTATCCTGTATTTGCTATAATTTGATCAAATAAATAAAGCTGCATTGTATTTGTCTCTTTACTTTTCTACAACTATACACTCAGCTGTGAGAGCTGATAGTGAAGGGAACTGATTTAAGTGTAAATGAAATGCTCAAGGTTAATTTGAGTCAGTTTAATGTTTTGCAGTATTTAAGTCTGTGCTGTTACAAACAACATTGGTGACACTAAATCGTAGCATCGAAATTACTATAATTTAAAATAGTGCCAATATAATGCATTTACCAAAGCAAATATGGTATAATTTAAGATGAATGGTAAATAACAGGGTTAACAACTTTGAGATATTGAATGAAAATAGTACTATATACTTAATAAATTACAGTAAAAATGCAGAAACCATGTAATAGAGCAGAGATTTAAATTGTATCATAAAAATGAACTTGAGAAAATTTGAAATTTTATGTGCTTAATATAAGCACATTTATAGGAACACAACCTTTAGGCTGAACCTCAAAAGAATGCTGCACCTCTCATAGCAATAATAAGTTTGAAATACAGGGGAATAGTACTGTAGTGGATCCGCTGCACTATATAATCCATCTGATCAAAAACAACCTTCTATATCCGGTCAGATCCAAAAAATAAGTATGGAGCACGTACAGTATAAACTTAATGAACAGTGTGGCAAGCTATTGTAGGTGTGTGCACAGCGCAAAGCAGACATTTTATATTTAAAGTTTATATGTAGTTTCGCTCTTTTTGATGACATAGCTGTTGTGAGAAGACATAGGCGATGCTTTTTGGTCACTCGTATGTACCTTGTAAATATTTAATATTTACCTGGTATTTAAAAATGACGAGGTTGTAATTAATTTCTAGGTACCTCCTAAATATACCCTAGGTACCTAGTAAGTATATCATCAGGACATTGTATATACACTGTAATCTTAAGCATTACGGCAACAGTTTAGTGTGCAGATTAAGTTGCAGAAGATTTATAGAACAAGTGTTGTATAGTATTTTTTAAAGATAGATTTGAAATCAACTCTATAATCCATCTGAGGAGTGATGACAAATCTGGGACCTGTAAAGTGAGTCAGGGAGTGAAACCGTTGTCTTGATCCGCAGGAACAATGTCCAGATGAAAATTAATCATTTCAAGAAAACATAAGTTACAACTTTGTTTCTGTATCTTTATTATAATTCTAACAATTTATTATCTCTTAAAACATTTGAAATTCATATGTTTATATGAATGTGTGTATATGCATATAACATATACATATATATTCTGTAAGTTACCTTTCATCAGTTCATATTCTCATTTTTTAAAAGATCTCTTAAAGGAAAAGAAATGCTTTCTATAGAGTCAGACCGATTCCCTCAGATCTTGCTTTTTCTCCCGACAGCAACGATGAGCCATCACTCCTGAATTTAACTACTAAACGCAAAGAAAGAATTAATAACAATTCTCCAAAAACAGTTTCTCACCAGTCACTTAACGAGATCATCATTGTATCAGCAAGAGATGTTTTCAAAATGTCTTATCCGAAGTTATTAATTGGCCCTATTCACACTAGCAAACTTTTTAGAGACCTGAAAGAAACAAGCAGAATCTGGCTGTGGATTGGGTCTGGACAGGAAGCCACATTCTGCTTGTTCAGAAACGGCCCCTTTCAGGCTCAAAATGACTCCAATACCTCTAAAGGGACGTGTGAAAAGCCACAGTTGCTAATGGAAATAGGGTCATTGCATAATACGCTGGTAATAAACAATGAGCTGTGAGCATACTGGCACATGTCAGCGACGGCAGAAGGTGCTTTGTACAAACAAGAAGATGCATATGAGCAAAAACACACTGGAGCTCTTAATACTGTCAGGTCAATAACAGTGGAAGGGGGCAGATGTAGAGAATGGGTCGAACTGTATAGAAAGCAGAACAGTTAAATAAATACATTGTACCTTTTCATGTTAAACATTATTTGGAAGACAGAGATTCTTTAGAACTTTTGAGACTTCTTTTTTACATCTTAAACCATAATTAGGTGACCATTATTTTCATCGTCCTTACTGCTATTTCCCTTAGCATTCAAATATAATCTCTCCTTGACCGCCAACACAAAGCACTTACAGAGTCAAATGCCCCCTTAATGACCTTTGCTCATTCACATTTGTAGCCTGTGCACTTGATGAGCGACATGATCTAAAAACTCATCTAGCTTTTTGCAAAAACAGACTGAGGATGCCCGATGTAAAATGCACATTTGATATGTTTCGAGGACTCAAAAGCAGCAGGACAGGTGAGGGGAAAGTGGTCATGAGAGAGCCCTTATATTTGATCTCAGCAAAATTGAGAAAAGCAGGACTGAGGTTATAATGAGATATAAATGTGCAGTTATAGCTGATGGGAAAATAAAAGGACTTCAGTGTAATATGGCACATCAAGACATAATAGAAGAGTGACATTTGTGATTAATCAGGAGGGGATGGCGGTTATCTGGAATTGAAAACAAAAAAATTTCACCTATGTGTTTTGTGGGCATCCACAGAGTAACAGTTGCTACATTTTCAGCATCTCCATGTTATTAAGTGGCAGCCAACTTTAAAAAGAGGGAGGAAATCATAGTTTGAGGCCATAAAAGTCAACATGTAACTTTGATTAAAGCTTCTTTTTTTTTAGTCTGACAAAAGAAAAACAGTAAGGAGGAAGTAAGGAATTGATTATAAAATGTGCTTCACATTAAGTTGCAACGCCTCTTGTCACATAAAAGCAATGTTAAGGGTACCGTGCATGAAATAATATGCATCTTTCAATTCAAAAATACCTACATTTACATATATATTCATATAGCCATCACGATTATCTTCAATACTGTCGTAGCTGAGCCATCTCAGCCATCAAAGGCAGAAACCAGGAACTCTTCGAAGCTTTAATAACAGTAAGGACGATGATAGTAATGATAAATAGTAACAATAAATCTCTTCATATCAATATCAGTATTCCAGTATTCCCATTTAAAGTTTAAAAATTGTAAGAACAATCATAGTATTAAAACTCGATATAAGCGGTTCTCTCAGATCCTCTCAGCCGGGTGGCTGCATGTTTCCTCCAGGATTTTGTCGAGAGAGAGAGAGAGAGAGAGAGAGAGAGGGACCACTCCTGGAAGGAGCAGGGGGGATTGGCTGGGAAAGAGCAAGTAAATGGCAGTTTTTCCTCGTTCCCTTCCCTCTCCTTTCCAGTCTCCCTCGGACTGAAGGTCTGAATGGGTGTACAACAGTTGCCTCAATGCTGAGGAAGTCTTTCTCGGTAAATAAAATCCTCGGGGTTTAGATATCTCCTCACATGGTCACATATCCTGTCTAACAGTTGAAAGCACAGTCTGTCTCCTTTTGTTTAAGTACATCTTGGATCCAAACATATAGTGTGTGTCTATATATGAGGTGTCCCATAAACTCTAACACAATCACTTGTAAGTGCTTGTGTGTGTTTACATGTTGGTGTCTGCATGCAGGCGTGTATAGTAGTAACTTGGGTGCCTGTGTGTGCGTATCAGTGTGTTTCCTTTTTTTATTCCTTTTTTTTTTTGTTGGTCTGGGCACTTATTTTTGCTACAAATTTGTGATACAGTGACCAGTCTGTATATATGTCATTATAAGACTTAAGATGATAAATAGATATTGAGAAACACACAACATCCTGATCACAGGACCTGCAGTGAGGACAGAGCCCTACCAGTGATGAGGTAAAAACAACACGTAACCAATCAAAGCCACAGCCAGCCTCCTTGGCCTTAACCAAGGAAGTTATCTGTGCCCTCATCACCTCTAAAAGACGTGGAAGCTGTCATGATATACTGCCCTGCGTCGTCCAACGTTCACCATGCAGACAGACAAAATCCTTACTCCTGCACACATTCACCCACATTCACCCTCAAATATTCATCCTCTGATATTCAGACACGTTTTAAGCATACTGACATCCATTCACACGGGGACAGGTTGTCATTGATTGCACTCTTAAATATTCGTGGTGGGTTCCACTCTTAAACCTGAACAGATATAACCAGCCAACTGAGGGGTAAGAGGACTACTCAACAAGATGGCAGCATGATGAAGGACACCTTTATCTTCTCCAGCTCGCTGCCAAACAACACAACCTGCTTGATTAAAAAAAAATAATCTAACTGGCTTTTGATTGTTCCTCTCATGTATTTGGTTCGGTTTCATCGCTGTTCTTCACTCCGCTGCAGCCATGGTGTCTCCGTATGCATTTTGGATGACAGTGTGTTTGTGTTACTTGTTTGTTGATTGGTGTGACCGTGCATGCATGTGGGGAGTGTACTTGTGTATATCAGCCTGCCACAACTTGGGAGCGCCAGCCACTGTCTTTATGGATCGTCAGCCCTTTTTCCATCCCTGTGTTTCCATCTCCCTTTGGGACTTGACTCCCTCTTTCTGTCGCTCTCTGTGTGAAATCTGTTCCCCCCTCATTTGTTGTGTGAATCCACCATGGATAGCAGCAGTTGTGTCTTCCTCCCTCATTGACTCCAATCCCTCCTTCTTTCTTACTCTCTCTCTTTCTGCCTCTGCATTTGCAACCTCAGCTCCGACTCCCGTCGTCCCTCCTCCTCTCAGTCTGTCCATCCCGAGGTGAGAGAACAGAAATGGGAAATGGGCTGCTGGACAGCCTGAGGACAGAAGAACAAACAAAAGACACACGTGACGTTTGGTGTTTTTTGTGAAATAATAATGAATGGTGTGTGTTGTTTTGTGGCAGTTGTGAGTTGTTCTCTGGCTTGACTCTCACTTTTTTGGAGATAATTATTTGTTCATTATGAAAGTATGGCCGCTCTTGTGCTGTAGACTCACTACATGACGGATTAGATTAGGAAAACATTGGTCATCACACATGCGGTGATAGAGCATTTTTCAATCCATACATTTACAAATCCATTTTACGGTATAACATAGCATGAGAATAGAAAAAGCCACGCATCAAAACCATAGTAACAGTAATTTAAACTAATGAGGAGTTTTCACTGTGGGGAAAACTACTTGAATGCTTTAAAGCACAAAACAGGAAGAGGGCGCTGTTCTTCCAGTGCAAATGGAGCTAAAGCTTTTTAAGAGTTTGAGATAGGGGCAGATGGTGAATGGAGTGAATGGCCAAATGAAAATTATTCCATCCAACATGTTTATCCTGAATGACAAACAACAAGCTCAATGACAAAAGGGAGGGAGAAGCTTTTATGGTGTCTTAATTTTAACACTTGAATAAAATATAACACTGCTGTGACATGGAGGTAACCAATCATCTCAGTTATGGTCTTTTTGTTTTAAAGTAATATTATTATTAGTATACTAGTGTCCACAGTATTTCACAACACGTGAGTGCTGTGTGTGCCACATTGTTAACTCTGCTCTCTGTTTAGAGCCTGGACTACAAGAGGACCTCAGTGTTGTTAAAATAGACTTGATGATTATAGATTACAGGTTTTTAAAACCTTTTTTAAAAACTCTTCACAGAGTCAGTACAACAGCAGTCAAGGTGGACTATGCTTTGTCTAATATGTTGTTTGTTATTGTTATGCGTTGTACCTGTCTGACTATTATTCTGTATATATTGCTAATACGTGCGGATTGTAATAAGTCATTTTATTTAATTGTAATTCTTTATTTTAGGTTGCCCTTTTAATAACTGGCGAGGGACAACAGATGAAAATTAGCCTGTTGAGCTAACTCTTGCTCATTTACAGTGACTTTACAGTTAATTAATGAGCACTATAAACAAATAAATGAAATTAAGTGAATAACTTCTCATTACTTTGTCACAAAATGTGTTCACATTGTCATTCACTCTACTCCACAACCACATCAGCTCTGTATTTACAGATTTGCAAATGTATGCTGTTTGTTAACTGTTAGCACAATCTATGCAGTGGTGCTATTCCTTTTTTGTAAGGTAAACAATACATGAATAAAAGCTACTACAGACAACACTAATACAATTTGTAATGCTACTAGTTATTAGTGGTTTTTTTTAGGTCATTGTGGGATGAGTGACCAAGTTTTCTCGTTGGAACACAAACGTTATGGTACATCCTGAGCTGTGTATAAAGTGTTTTGGTGTGCTGTGTAGAGATGCATATTGATAAAGAGAGCTGTTTGTAAAGTTTGTCAGACAGAAAAAGCATGTAACCAGGTGCAAACATTCAAAATAATTGAGATGGTCCTGCCAGGTAACATTTAAGGATAATCTTTGGTTACTTTCTATTGCAACTCTTCTAAATGAGTTGTAGTGGTTAATTGTGTTTCTCAGCAGCCTGTACAATTGCAGCCATACCTGTCCATTACGCTCCTCAGGGCCCGTTCAATGTTCATGCGGTGGCCTACACGTGTCACACCCAAATCTAGATAGTCATCCTTGGTTAGCGAGGGAAGGTGGGTGCCGTCAATCTCGTTGTCCAGGAAACGCTCTCTGTGCTCACCCAAGTTCAGGTATCCTAGCCAGTCTGCAACATCATACTTGGTCCAGTAGGGCAGCGGCTTGGAGGCAAAAGGTTTTGTAGGGGAAGGGGGTGGAAGATGGGGGTAACTCAGGCAGGTAGGTGGAGGGAGAGGGTGCAGGGGTGGAGAAGAAGTCCCGGACAGGAAGTGAGTTGGAGAGAGCGATCGAGAAACAACTAAGGTGGAGTTTGGAGGAGGAGGGGCACCAGAGGGAGCAAACAGTGGAGGAGAGGGCGAGAAGTAAGGATCTCCAAGAGGGTTCCCAGGTGATGGTGGGGTGATTGAACCTCGAAGGTCATAGATGGCACTGTATAGGGGTGAGGTGGGGAGGAGTGGAAGGGATGATGGCCGCGGTGGACCCAGTTTGGGCCTCTCTGACGGGGAGATGAGGGGGCTGGGTGCTCGCCTACGCTGGAGTATGTGTGATTCTGCTTTACGGGACTCTCGACTAGGGATGAACTGGAATTCTAGGGCTTTGGTCCGGTAGACAGGTCTGTGTTTGGGGGAGGTGGGGTAAGGGGAATAAGATGTCGGAGACAGCGGGGAGTGGGAACGTGGAGGCTGAGAAGAAGCTGGAGGCTGAGGAGATGGGGATCGTCCCCAGTTAGGGTACTGGGAGGCAGGGGTGGGGGATGGGGATAACGACGGCTGCGATAACGAAATTGGAGACGGTGACTGGGATCGAGCTGAGGGGGGGCTCAGAGCTGAGGCTGAGTCTTCTGAAAATCTGTGAATGGAGAGGGAGATAAACTGTTACAAGAGAAAAACATGATAGAAAACAGAAAACGATAAAATTAAAAACGTGCACACACATTAAGGGTATTGTGGGTAAAACATTGTCCAGCCATTTTTAGAAACAGCGGATTAAAATTATTTTATACTGTCAACATCTTGATTGTGTACAATAAGTCTATCAGTTGTTTCAAGTTTAACAAGGGTTCCTCTCCTTCCTTACTGTCTCAGGCTATAAATTCAAGCAGATGTCAAAGTTTTATGTCCTTCCTGACAGAAAAAAAAATGAGTGTGGAAGTGCCTCTATTACCTGTTTCTGCTTCTGAGAGAAACACATGGAAAAAGCCAGAGAAATAAAAGAGGAGAGGTTTACACAGTATAGACAACACTTACACAAGACATAAACAGACAGCAATTGTGGGAGGTAAAGAGCTCACAACTCACAAGTGGCACACTGACATGAACAGAATGACAATGCCGTGCCTCAACAACAACTACAACTGTTCATGCTGTGACACTGAAAAACATAAAGCCAAAGTTTTCACTGATGTGTACCTGTGTCTGCTCAGTGGTCTCTGGCTGCTCCAGCTGTCCTTGCTTCTTTGATGCAGTTTGCTGCTCAGCTCATTTATGATGCTGGGCTTCATACTGGATGCAGGAGGGTAAATCTTCTTCCCCTCTAAAAGTGCCCCGGACTGACCCCCTCCATCACCGGACATCTGCCCTTCGCCCCAGAGAGGCTTCATCTCAGGAGTGCGTGGGCGATCAAAGTATGGTGAAATGGGACGTCCCAAATTCTGCATGTCCCTCACCCCATACCCATCCTGGCTACTTTCTTCCTCTGCGATTCCCTCCTCGATCTCGTCCTCTTCCTGCTCGTCCCTCCGTCTGTGGGAGTGGAAGGACGCAGGAGCGGTGCTGGTCTGTCTGTGTAGATCACTGGTGCGACCTCCCTCTCTGAACCTATTGGCTTTTGGGTAGGTGGAGGCTGCTGCTGTGGCATTCTGCATTTCAAAAGTTTGTCCGTCCAGGTAGCTCATGTAAGACTCCAGAAAATCTCCTCCCCTTTCTGATTCCCCTGTTCCACTTCCCCCTCCCATCCGTCCGCCAGCTCCACCTCCTCTCTCCCCTCGGTCCAGCCTGTCTCCCCGTACGCTGGCTCCACTTAAAGCCAGGATGCTGTCCAGGTGGTGGTCACTGCTGCTGCGGCTATCCAGCTCTTCAATCCCAGAGTCTACCACTGTCTCCTGGGACTCTCCTTTCTTGGTAGTAGGGGGAGGACGGTGGTGCTCCCCTGTCCTGCGACTGCCCGTGATGGAGGTGGAGGATGTTGTATGTGTGGTGTGTGCACGCTCTTGGTAGAGCTGAGTGGAGGTGCTTGTTGTGGTGGCAGCAGCGGTGGTTGTAGCGGCACAGCTAGCGGTCGTGGCGTATGAGGCGTTGCCCCTAAGTGGAGCAGAGGTGGCAGCAGTGGAGGAGGGCGTTGGGGGACCACGGTAGGCGGGAGGAGGAGCGACAGTGTGCGGGGGAGGCGTGGGGGAAGAGCGCCCAGGAGTATGAGAGCTGTTGTAAAGGTGGTGGGGGTGGGACATAGAGAAGGGTCTGTGATAGGAACCAGGAGGAGGTGGCGGTGAAACTGACGGGGGAGGTGGGGGTCCTGCTATCGAGGTGGGTTGCAAGGTAGAGGGCGAGGCAGGGGGTGGTGGGTTAGGTGATGTTTGGGAGGGGGAGGGAGCGGACTGAGTAAGGTTAGCCACCTCACTGTCATAAGATGTGAGGCTGGAGGCAGTGGAGTCCCCTGCCTGAGGTGAGGGCAGGGGTGTATGAGAGGGAAACCCACTTACAAATGGTTCTTTTTGGGAGGGTGGAGGGGGTGGTGGTGGAGGTGGAGGAGGAGGTGGTGGGGGTGGGACCTGCTGTTGGCGGGATGTCAGGCTGTTGGGTAGCATCCCGTGTTGTGTGTACCTTGATATTCCCCTGTCAAAGCTGTTAGCAAACTCTAATGGAGGTGGGAGAGGGTCTGCGTAGACAAACTCATCATCAGCATCAACTGAGGGGGCAGGGGGAGGGAGAACCATCAGGCCAGTCCCAGTGCTCCCAGTAGTGTTCACTGTCTGCTGGGTACTGGTAGGTGGAGGAGAGGGAGGGGTGAGGGACAAGATATAGGCATCAGATTGACTTTCCATCCTGAGAAAAGTGGGCCTCCGAGGCTGCTGAGGCTGGGACACTTGCTGAGCCGAGCTCTCAGCAGCCGCCGCATTGGCAGCAGCCTGCTCTGCCCTCCTCATGTAACCCTCTCTCTCTTTGTCCCGCTCTCTTTCTCTCGAAAGCTCCCTCTCGCGTTCCCTTGACCTCTCCCGCTCCCTCTCCTTGTAGGTTGGCTGATACGGCTGAGACTGGTAGTGGTGCGTGTGGACGGTTTTGTCCTCAGAGAAGCGAACTCTTAGTCCTTCACGAGCCCCTCCTCCTTCCCGCTCCCTTTCTCCTCCACCCCCTTCCTCACTCCACACACTCCCAACTCCTCTGAGGATTCTGGGTGAGGGTGGACGGCCAACAGTGGGCGTGGTGGCAGCCAGAGAAGACGAGGTGACCAGGTAGGAGGAGCTGGAGGACTGGGCGGTGGAGGACTGGGCGTTGGACGACACAGACTGAGAGGCGGCAGAAGATGAAGGAAACACCACACTCGACATCTGGCGGCTGAAGTGGTGCTCTGTTCCCCTCCTTAACCTGCTGTCATCCCTCAGAGCACGCTCTCTAGCAGCCAGGGCGAGGCCTAGTGGTGATGTGGGGTCAAGAGCCTTTCCTGTTAGAGGGTGAATGAAGGTGGTGGTAGCAGAGGTTGCTGGCTGCCTGCCTGCTGCTGTGTACAAGTCAGTAGGCACAGACTTAGGTTGATAGTCCAGGGCAGGTGAGGAGTACTCAGGTAGACCAAAGGCTGGTGGCATACTGCGGGTGTGATGGATAAAGGTGTCCCCAGAGAACATGCCCTCATCAATTGATTTGGATGGGCGCAGCCGTGTTGATGAACTTTCACCCTGTGTGCTAAGCTGCTGCTGTGACACCTGAGTCCTTGTTACTCCGCCTATTCCATCACTCACTCCCCCAAGGCTCACATCCTCCTCAGCAGACATGAACAAGGAGGCACTCTTTCTGCGGGCTTCATGAAACCGTTCCCTGTCTCGGCGAGCTGCACCAACAATGGCAGCCCCAAACTGGCTGGTAAAGTCCAGGTTATCCTGGGCTCGGATGGAAGGCAAGGAAGGAGGCGGCGGTGCTGGGATGGAAGGCGGGGCAGGGGGCTGTGGAGCGGGAGTTGAAGGAGGAGGACCATGGGGTGTTTTGGTTTCATCTGTCTCCCCTGATGTAGGAGCGTCAGCCTCCACACTGCTGCCCTGGCTGCTGCGTCCACTGCTGCTGGTTGAAGGGGCCTTGACGATAATGGTGGGGATGGGGATTGAGCTTTTCTCCACCGAACCTTTGCCCCCCAGTGTACCCTGTCCCGTGCGCAGGTCCTCTACCTTGGATTGCTTCACCAGGGGACCCTTACCTCTCCGGGCCCCTGCTTTAGGACCACCTGCTCCAGCCCCAGCCGCACTGCGGTCTGCTCGCTGGGGTTGACTCTGGGTAGTCTGTTGTTGCTGAGGCATTACAGTGGCAATGCTCGATGGGGGGACAGCGGTGCTGTAGCCTCTCCTAAGACCTGCTGTCTTGGCCCCCGCACCAGCCCCTATGCCAGGTCCAACAGGCTCCCCAGTATAGGCAACTTTCCGCGAAGCAGTCCTGCTTTGAGTAGTATGGGGAGCTGCATGTGCATACGAGGTTGTGTGGTCCACCGCTCCACCACTGGAGCCGGTGCTGGGACCACCTGCCCTCTCCCTGCCCCCATGGGTGAAGTGCACTGACTGGGGGTAGGGCTGGTAGTGTGCAGAGGTGGATGTGGACTGAGACACAGAGACAGAGGGCTGTTGGGATGACTTAGCTCTCCAACCTAGTGGCGGAGCAGAGGAGAATGGAGGGTCTGGTGGAGCTGTGGTGGGAGGAGGAGGGATGTCGTCTGGGCCAGGCACAGACAAACTGCGAGCAAACTTCATGGCTGGAGGGTGCAGGAACTGCTTCTCCTCCTCAGGCACCCCTGCAGTACAGCATTCACAAATGGAGAAAAAACAAATTGATGAAATAGGGATTTTTAGATGGTACAGATGGTATGGAGTGAGAGTAAGAGAGGCAAAAGATTTTGGGCGAATAAGAGTGGAGAGCAAATGGAGCCAGAAAAAAGGGAAACTGAGGATACTATGAGAGTGTCTGTCTAAATCTGCCTGCCCGTCTACCTGTCAGCGAGTCTGTCCTCAATTATTATGCCTGTTAGTAGGTAAGTCCGTTAGTGCTATATATTCCACAAACAGCAACTGGGCAGCATCACAAAACAGCAGTTTTGTTGGTCACCAGAGAGCACAATACTAGTGTAGAGTTAGCAAGGCCTTAGTAAGTAAGAATAAAACAGGATTAGTGGCACTACAATATGACAAATAGTAGTAGGGTGAGTATAAGACAAACAAACATCTTATTTTTATAGTAAGTTAAACAGGTACCACACGATCAGCTACAGATATAGAAGTGCGCACATTTTTGGCCGCAGACAAGACATAGTTGGCCACAGACAAACAGGTTAGCACAGTGTAGACCCTCTACTGGTCCAGAGGACAGACAGACAGGCGGATGGAAGGGCAGACAGGAAAAACAGACAGCCTCACCGATGGATTTTTGCCGCAGCATACCGTGCTGTGGGCCGTGACCTGAGGTGTACTGGCCACGGTCATAGCCGAGGCCCAACCCCGACGACATCATCCCCATCCCGGACTGATCCCCGTAGTTTGGCTGAAATGCCAAAAAAAAAAAGAGCACGTGAAGTGGAGAGAGCCATGAGACTCAACTGTAAATTACATGTATGGGCCGGAAAACGAAAATAATAATCTAAAAGAGACTTAAAGTTACTGAGTCTGGTGTTAATTCTCAGTAGTTTTGGCAATATGAGTGACCCCTTTGTATGATTAGTTTATTGTTAATCAGTCAGAAATAATATTTAATGCAGGTTTAAATGAGCTAAGAATAAAGGCTTCACTGGTACATCAGTTGTTCACTTAGCAACATTTTCATGCCTATAAATGAAACATAAGCTGTTGTTGTAGACATTAGCATGTTTTAAATCTTTAGACTACGCATTCTGCTTCACAGAAACGTGAAAAAATGCCACTTCTGTTGTTTTTTTACATTGGTTCATGACCAGGTAATACATGACTCAAGTGTATTTATATGCAAGTCTGTCGGTCACATTGAATCGGGATCTTTAATTTTGAAATATTTTTGACGTAGGAATATCTTGCCCAGTGCAGCTTATAAATGTTACTGTTGAAACTAATGGTTGCATCAAGTTTTGCTTTGACATTCTTTCAATTTATATTCCATAGTCTTTGCTGTCTCCTCCTACAACTCATTGTAAGACTGGCACTCTTCTCAACCTGATGAGAGACACAGTCATCACAGATTTAAGACACATGTAAATCAATCCTGTAGCTTGATTCACAATACACACCTCATTGCCATAGAAACTTCGTCCCCTCTCTCTTTTTGGCCCCTGTCCCCGTGTCCCTGGCGCCTCATTGGTGCTGATTGTCTGCTGAGCTGCTGCAAGAATTTCATCTAGTTTATCTGGGAGGAAAAAAAGGGAGAGAAAGAAACAGAAAGAGAGACAGAAAGGAAGAGAGAGAAAGAGACATACGACGATGAAACAGAAAAATGGACAGTAACAAATGTGTGGAAAGGGACACACTTGATGAAGGTGGGTGAGAAAGAGATTCAGAAAACGTTTACTGACAAACATGAGCTCCCTTACTCAAAGCCATCTGATAGACTGTCCTCTTCTTCTCTGTAACTTGTGAGGATTCGAATTCTAAAAAGAAAAGAAATGCAGAATAAGTAAGTCAAGTCATTTTGGACAGACATAAATACAATGCCTTAAGCAAGAGTGTACCAGAGCATACCTGATTTTTTTTTCCAAGGGGTAGCAGCTGGAAAGAGGACAAAAGGAGACTTAAGTTTTGGCAGGAGTGTAAGTGTGATAGCGTTGTTACAGTGAATACTAATCACATTCCCCAGAGTCTGACAAACTGAGTCACCTCGCCAGGCTTTTCAATGTAAAACAACATATCACACTCACATTTTAAAACAGCTGAAGGGTGCACACATATGTTACAGTAAATATGCTGCACATACAGAATGCTTCTTGCTGTTATTATGTGAAATTAGTCTGACCCCCACCTCTCTCCACTGTTAAATGGTTAGGATCCCGCCAGCGGTGAAGTGGGGACAAAGGAGACAAAGAAAAGACAGAGTTAGTGGTTAAACCAGTGAACAGTAAAGGGACATAGAGGAGTAAAGAGGATGAATTAAAGGTGACCCTTCAGTGTTTGCATCCACTGGTGTGAGTGAGCTTGTGTGTGTGCACTGAATAGGGATAGGGTTATCTGCCATATGTATACTCAAGCCATTTTATTTCATAATGTGTAGTACAAAGATTAATTAAACAGAAATAAAAATGTCTGATAGTTTAACAAAGCATGAAAGGGCTTTGAACTTGTGCTCATTTCATCTCTTAAACACAACTTTACTGCACAAACCCTTTTTTAAAAAGCCATAGTTTTATCAAAACATGTGTCCAACCATATTTAAACAACAATTGCATGAAATTATTGTCAGGAAAACAACAGGTTGTGGACTTATATGCACTGCAGGATCATTTCCATTTTAATGTCCTTGTTATCTTGCAGCATAACTTCTAGGTGAACTGAGACACTGCACCAATCACAGAGGTGAGATAGTTTAATAGGCGTCACAGCTAAATTAATTCTAATGCATTAGAATAAGCATATGGCAGGGGCTGACATGGCTTCATCATACCTTGTGCTCCTCTTACCTTGATCCAGAAAGAGGCAAAAGCAATGAGGATCTGAGTTAAAAGGTGTCTGACTGCAAAGGAAACTGGTACCTGTGTTTCAGACTGGGTGCTCATGCTTTATGCTGGTCACGTGAGGTCACACCACAGAGAGAAGGCAGGTGAGGGGAAGAGATGGGGGAGGAATTGGGTAATGGGCAGATTTCTACACTCAGGATAAACTTTCACTCGTAGTATGGGTACCGGTTTGCGCATTGTTTGTTGTGAAAGCCTTGCAGATTTCCCTCCCCTTCAGCAGTTACACATGTCATCATCTTTCAAACACGGTCAATCGCTCACCAGGCATGCTCAGAACCAGACAGCAGCGACAGATACAAGGACAGCAAACGCCATAAATGTTTAGAAGATATAACCCAATCACCAATAAAACACTGGCCCACGTTCTGATCTGCAAATGGGGGGCGTTGACCCTCACCATGCACTCTCCTCCCACTATTTTGCCTCAAATAGAGATGGCATAAGCACGGCCACGCATAATGCTGTTACCACAGCAACAGACCTGGAACAAAGTTGTTTGTTTTGTTTTTTTTCACAAAAATTACTCATCTCAATAATTTTATCCTGGGTGTGATTTCGTCTAAATGAATCAAAAACGCTTTCAACAAAAGACATCAATCTTCACAAGAGGCACATATTTTGCCACTTGCTCTAGAACACGTATGAAGTCCGTATACACTTTGCAATGATGTTTGTGGCGCCCGGAAAACTCTTGTCAGGTGACGCCCATTCCCCTGCAGTGTTACCTTGGCAACAAATACTTGCTGAGTGTCTGCGTGTGTGTGCGTGTTGAGCAGAGGGGCTGGTAGACTTGCTCTGTGGGCGCTGGGGTTAAAGCTGTGGGCGGGCCAGGGAGCAGTGGGAGGTGCAGGGGGGTAAGAGGTAAGAGAGGCGGGCAGTGAGAGAGGGATCACAGGGTGGATGGCGACACTTTTTCTGGGTGGGGTTACCTGTAGTGGGGGTGCTGGAAGTGACAGTGTGGAACCTCTGAAAGAACAGTGAAATGCATTGAGACCGTCATCCACGGCGGTAGCCAATCTTCTTTCTCCTCTCCATTATCTCCCTCTCTACTTTCTTCCTGTCTAAATTTAGCCTAAAGCTCAACTTCCCTTCACACGTTCACCTTCTTTAGCAACACTGTTTCCGTCAATTCCTCAATCTATTTCTTCTAGTAACTTTAATGTCTCCTCCTCTTCAACTTTAAATCACTTTTCTTTATTTGTCCACAACTCTCTGTCTGTCTGTTTCTTCATTATTTGTAATTTTTTCACTCCCCAAAAATTTCTTACCCATCTCCTCCAGTTCTGAAGTCATGGATTTGGATCGTAGGGCGATAGCTGGAGTGCTTAGCCTCTTACTCTGCTGGGGGACTGGAGGGCAGGTAAGAGACAAAGACAACAGTGGTCAGGCAACTGTTCAAGAACAAGGTTCAGTCCCCAACCAGCATTCACAGAGAGAAGCACTCTTACTTTTCTTCCTTGAACCTTCCTCCATGTCTGGGTTGCGGGTTACCATGACAACCTTTACCATGAGGCTGTTGCCACCTTGCCGGATCATGTTGACGACCTGCCGGTGACCAACCTTCACGACATTTTGACCATTGACCTGGGATGGACACAGAGACAGGAAGCGACAAAGAGTTTAGTTGCATGGCTTGTTGTCAATTTTACTATCTTTTCTCAATTGCAATTTGGGGGTCTAGGTGGGTGATGGGAAAGTGCGCAAGCACATGCCTTTGATGTGGGAGACCTGGGTTCAATTCCCACCGTGACATCAACTTATGGGTCCCTGAGCGAGAACCCTACTTGCTCCAGAGGAGTGCAAACACTGACATATATAGCAATTGTAAGTCACTTTGGATAAAACTACCTACTAATTATAATTATTATGTTCTTAGGTATAATTTATGTCAACAAATGACAAACTGACATGCTGACAGTGAAAGATAGAGTGAAGTATTTGCTTGTAGTTTAGGGTTCTTGGACATTAATATCAGCTAAACTCAGAAACAGTTGTCGCAGAATATAAAATAACAGAGGGTCTACAACTCAATGAATCTTGAAATCATTTGTACTTGACTGAAATATATATTTATTTCTAGTTTTGCAGGCTGTTAGAAGTATCTCAAAGACCTACAAACAGCTTTAGATGAAATTTGGTGGTAAGTGAGGCCTTAGGCCACTGAACAAAATATATATTTTTGGTGCATATCTGGATCCAGGTGTCAATAAAGTTTCATAAAATAATAATTTTGAACAGAACAAATTTGATTTTGACGATTCAGCTAGAAATATGGATGAAACTTTTTTATCCCACATTTAGGGGACCTTTGCCTTGTGTGATTGCTCTTTAGTTCAGAAACCTCTACAGAAAATCTGTCAGTGCTTTTAATCCCAACCCATAATGCAGTGGTAAATCATGGCAGTACTTCTATCAGGAAATCCCCCATCCTGAGACCGGCTCTCCAGGCGACGCCTCCCTCGTCCACTGACTCCAGGTACTGCAGTGCAGGGAAGGCCGGGGTGGGAGTGAATTCCTCTATAGGAGTCTGAGCTGGAGACGCCATGTAAATATGACAATGCATTAGCTTTGCATGTGAAACAGTATGTTAAATATGATTACAACTACCATACCTACATCAATTATTGCAAGGCAGGATGTTTGTTTATTTCACATGTGTTACCTTTGGCCCCTCTCAGCACAAAGCCAAAACCCTCGCTGTCTTTTTTCTGCAGCAGCACCGTCTTCTCCTTGATTATATAGTCACTAGCAGAGAGAAGACACAAGACAGAAATTAAAGACAAGGAGGACATGCACTGTAAATCCCATCTGCAGTCACCCTCTGCCTCAATCACTGGAGATTATGGGTAGAAAGTAAAGTTTTAAAATCCATAAATCACAGCATTTCAGGTGTTACTTTTCCCTTCCTCAACTACACCACTCATCTCCTCTGCTGTCTGCTTCCCGCTTCCTGTGTCCCTCTCTGATGACATCACCACCAGCACTAGGCATAAACTAATTACTAACTAACAGTCTTGGATTTAAACTGGAAACCAAGTATATATCTGTATTTACGTTTATATAATGTATGCGTATACTTACTAATATCCATGTTTTTTTTGCTTTGTTTGTCACTTTCTAATCTTAAAATGATAATACATTTTGACCTCCTGTTCTTATTTATGCTTTATCGCAGCTCTTTTTTCACTTTCCTTTCTATTATTTATACATTGTTAAAATCTTTACAAATAAAGTTTCAAAAAGTGTTTTGGATTGATATTTGACATCCAAACAGGTGACTGTCATCCAACTGTAATGTGATGGAGATGATGGTGTTTAATTTATACTTTTAGTGAAGAACTGATCTGACAATGGGTTAAGGGTACAGTATGCTTGATCTAATAGACATTTTATGTACCCTTAAATATGTTACTGTTTAATAATAATCTATTGTTATTATTAGAAGTAGTAGTGGTAATATTAGTAATAGTAATATTAGTAATGAAAAGTTTACCTGTTTCAAAAGCTGTTTAAAAGCTTTTCTGAAATGATGACAATATACTTCTGAAATGGAAATAATAAATTTAAATGTAAAAATTGACAATTGATTTAAAAATATTGCAGCTTCAATTTAAAACTACCGCTATCAGTCTTCATAATTCATACTCCAAACACCACTAATTGTAATTTATGCCACACTCCCTACAGTACGGTGAGGACTTCACTTTTTCTGTATGTTCTTGACAGCGAGCCCAGAGCCGGTTTCTACCAGAACCTCAGTGAAGATGCTATATACGGTATGATGGTGCTGCTTGTTGCCTCAGCAACAGCTAGAACTGGACACAGAGAAAATTTGCTTTGGTAGGTCCACACCAGAGTCAAAGTCATGAAATGGTAGTAGTCACTGACAGCAAAGAACAGGCAGTGCCTGCTCACATGTAGAGGCTGCATTGTATAGTATACTTTCTATTCTGTCCAGTGGCACAAACATATGGGAAAACAGTGGTTGAATGTAACTACATATATTTACTGAATTAATGCAAAATGTTGAGGTACTTGAATATTTCAGTTTTATGCTACTTTATATGTCTGTCAACTGAATTTCAGATGGACGTATTGTGCGTTTTACACAATTGCATTTATTTCTATGTTTAACTATGTTATTTTCAGAGGAAGATTTTACACAAAAAAAACAGATTATCTAATAATTACAATGCATTGAAGACTAAACCAACATTTTTGGCTTGTGACTCCTCACAAAAAGCAGTGTCTAGTTGAAGCCTTTGTTGTGTTTCAGATGATTATGAGAAGTTGGCAGTCCCACCATACAGTCATTTTCCCTCTGAACTGCTCAGATGACTAAATCTAAGTAACTAATCAGGGCCGAGATAGACAGATATAACCAAGATTTCACATAAAAATAGAGACAAGAGAAACTTTTTTAAAAAAATGAATGCAGATTTGCGTAGCAGACTTTTTTCTCCTTTCCTCTCTCATTAATCATCTCCATTCCCTCATATTTATCTTGTGACCATTTCGAGTGTGCCGACCTCTAGGTTGGGAACCACTGAACAAAACTACCTAACTGTATATAAAGTAGTTAAAACCAGCTCCACCTTGACCAGCTACAACTGTAAAATCTTACTTAAGAATGAATGATTCAGTAATAATAATCTAATAATGTCATATATAATAATATATAATGTTGTTTTCTGCAGAACAAGTGCTTTTTGCTTCTGATAATTTAAGTAGGTTTTGCTGATACTACTTTTTACTGAAGTGGGATTCTTAATAAAGGACCTTAACTTGTAATGGAGTATATTTACATTGTTGTATTGGTACTTTACATAAGTAGAGGATCGAAAGTACAAAACATAAAGGACTGAATGACAATATATAAATTCACACATTTTGACTGACTTTTAAAAACAATTTTGTAGCTAGCTATCATAATGCATTTGTCCTAGCCCATTAAATGCTGGAGAAGATGTTATAAAAAACTTTAAATTCTCAATCGTGTTGTATGTGCCCATGACAAGAGGCTTATCTTATCCTACTAGCATGAGAGTTCAGAGACGTACACACTTGGACGCTCGGCCTCTTCAGTTTAAACCACTTTGGTGTAAGAAACAGCACCGCTTCTAAGGTTTTCTGGCCTCTAACAGACTCTTGTTATGAATGGAAAGATCATCCAAACAGTCATTCAGTCAGTCAGTGACTCAGAGAGGTATATATACACCGTGTCAGCTGTAACATACTGTAACCACATGCTGATAATCCCATCGTGCACCAAAATAGTCCCAGCCCACTCCATCTGTTCATCCCTCTCTCTTTCTCTCCTCACTGGCTTTTCTTCTTTTTAGATTTTTCCCATCCTGATGGCCCCAACTACTTCATACCTCACTCTATATTGGCTTCCTTCCTTTGTTCTCTAAACTTCCACTCATTTTTTTCTAATTACATTTCCCCCTAATGATCTTTGTCATTCAGTCTATTGAGTGCACAATGCTCTCCACAGGCTGCGAGAGCCTCTCTGTCTCTGCCAAGACTCTGTCTCTTTGTTACTCTTGTCCTCTTCTTTCCATCTTTGCTGCCCAGCACAGACCTCAAACACTCTGAGGGTCCAAGTTTAAACGAGTACAAAATGCACAGGCAAGAATGTTCACACAAGTCTTATGGTAGGACTTTATAGTAAAAGAAATAACTACTGGGAATTAGGTACAAAGTAATGTAGACGTGCAAACACACACATCACATTCCCCCTGTAGCTGTAAGCCTGCCTTGTTCCCAAGGGCAACACAAGCAACAAGTCACTCTGGTGGAAATTCAGCATGTGTGCAGACAACAAACATATCAGTTCAGGAAACTTTACCAACAACAGCAATTTATATTTTTGCACTTGTTTCCCTACTGATGTTGTTTAGTTTCATGGACATTAGTTCGGCCCAGTAAATATAATGGATTACTACTGCAATATGACGTTTCTTAGTTTTATGCAACCTTTAGTTAACGAATGATCCCTACATGATCATCCCTACAAAACAACACTGAAAGAACTATTGCATCCATCAATGTGGCGCATGATAAACTCTGAAGAAATAGTCTTGACTTGACAGCTATATTTACTGATCAGAATGACAAAACTTTACGAGGGGTGTTACCAAAGCAGCGGAAAATGCAAAATATGCCTAATCAAAAATATAATGACAACTGCATAAATGCACCGAAGCCTTTTGCACAACCAAAAATCACAGAGAACACGATGACACTGTCAAAGCCAAGTCATTCGCAATAATTAGGGCAACTGCTCTTCTAACTATATTCTTTACGAAGAATCTGTCATTGGAAGATGTGTCAGATCATAAGTGTCATGTTTATGTTGTACAACTTATCCTATATTCACTCCTTGAATCCAATCGCTTGAAGCACCTACAACTAACTCAGAAGTTGCTGTCTTCAAGGATGTCATCAACTTTAAGTGGCTATAGCAGTGTCCCAGTTTAGTGGATCCTCTGAAGTCCGAATTTCTGGACGAATGCTCTTCCAAGTGAAGCTGAGAAATGCAGCCTACATTTGCTCACAACCAGTGCATCCTTAGAAGTTCCCATTGTCCTCAAATCCACTGTGTGCTGGCCAACTTTTTAACAGTGTTTAGGCCTCTTCAGCTTGTAAAGCTGGGGAATAGCCCATCACCAGGTCATATTAAGCAGGTGTCCGTGTTCAGATACTGTAGGGTGTAAATCATGGAAGCCAGGCATAAAAACCACAGTCTGGTCGTGTTCTTAATCACAGGGTATTACAGAAAAACAGAACTAAAATGTTAACACTATTAGCTATGTGTCCATAATGTGCTCCTTAAACTTTTAATGCAATTTTGGACATCATTAAGCGAATCCCAGTTTATCGTATCGTTCTCGTATTTACACTTTTCTAGGTGTTTCGATTTCTCAGTGACAAACTTTAAAACTTGTTTTCTTTACATGTTGACACTGGAACACATCATTACTTTTGCTCTTTGTGAGTTCATCTTATTTAGAGAGAAGACCAGATTCACCACCTTTGTGGACTACATCCATCAGCTGTTCCAGCTACTGATCTGAGACCCAGTGATAGTGCCGCGCAGTGTCTTTAGTGACCCAGTGTTGTCATCAGTATCTTAGATGCAAGTAACTGAGCTGGACAATCCAACACAGTATACAGTGTGCCTAATACTGGATACGTAAGAAGCCAAGGCATTAGAAAGGTTTGGCCAAGCAGGCTTCAGAAAGATGTCAGAAAGAAGCTGGAACTTGTCATGCATGCTGCATCGGTTAAACTCCCTCACCAAGCGCGGTTTCCAATTCATCGGCAGCCTCCCTTTCTCTCTCTCTCTCTCTCACACACACACACACACACACACACACTGGTAAACATACAGAAGCACGCCACACATCACACAGGAAACAAGAACACATGCAATCAACCATCCAGCAGAGGAAGAAAAATTTCCTCACCATACCTGTTTTATGTTTTTGATGGACAACAGCAAACACACCATCCATCCATACACACACACACACACACACACACACACACACACACACACACACAAACATAGGCATGCATGCACACAAACAAACACGCAATCGATTTGCACATCAGTAAAAGCAGCAAGCATCACTTGTGCCGGTGCAGCATTGCTAGAGGACGTTTGTTCTGAGAGCAATTCAAAGCAGAGAGAGAGAGAAAACGACACGCACATGTTCATACAGCGAAACACAGAACGG